GTGTCTCCGACTCAGTCCAAGTCAGGCCGTGGTTAAGCTGCTGCTCGGCACAGGCAAGGTCGACGTCGATAGCAGGAACGGGTACGGGCAAACGCCGCTATCAAATGCCGCGGAAAAGGGGCACGAAGCCGTGGTTAAGCTGCTGCTCGGCACAGGCAAGGTCGACGTCGATAGCAGGAACGGGTGCGGGGAGACGCCGCTGTTAAGGGCCGCGGAAAAAGGGCACGAGGCCGTGGTTAAGCTGCTGCTTGGCACAGGCAAGGTCGACGTCGATAGCAAGGACAACTACGGGCAAACGCCGCTGTCAAGGGCCGCGGGGGGCGGGCACGAGGCCGTAGTCAAGCTGCTGTCGAAGGATGGGGACGGACTCATTGCGAAGCTTCTCAAATAATGACTTTACCACCTCCCCACCCACCACCTATTACATGCCCTTACTTATATACCTAAAGCGTGGCAAATAGATGGCCAAGAATATGAAAGAACGTTGCTAAGCCAATGTTTGTTAGATGACGACAGCTCCGTGTGGCAATATCACTGCCCAGGTGTGATGTGCTGAAAGGGAGCACGTGACTAACACGTGCACCACTTGTAGCAGTATCGTGCGTCATAGGGCTGGGAACATCCTTTGCGTACGGTTATCGGATGTATCTTTGTGGTACGTTGACGAAGGTCGCCCAGTTTTGGAGGAGGGCTGGCTGCACTCCGCACTGGTGCATGGACTTGTTGCCTGCCTGGATTTAACCATGTGCCGCATGAGGAGGCTCGAATATTAGGGTGCTTTTCATATGCCCATCCGGTACGGCCTGTCGTCGGCTGCCGCCGGCCCGGCCAGCCCAACCCAACCCTCCCAAAGATTGGGCTGGGATGCGCACGCCTCGGCGCCTAGGTGTTATGGTGCGGAGCCTTGGTAGGCTGGCGCAGCCGTATTTCGCTATTCTACCTAGGTTGATAGGCCCCCAGTACAGCCAAAGTGTCGACTTTGACTTTCAGGTCATTTGGCTGGATGGGGTGGGGGCCTCTCTGTGCCGAATTCGTGACAGGAGGGGTCTCCGTTTGTCCAACCGCCGTGACAATGTGGAGCATGGAGGGAGCATGGAGAAAGCATGGAGAGAGCATGGAAGGACATCGGGCGGAAGCATGGAGGGGAGCATGGAAGGGAGCATGGAAAAAGTGTAAAAATGGCATCGAATAGGCTAGCTATGGAAACAGCATGGAAGGACATCAGGCGGAAGCATGCGAAAAATTATCAGAAATGGTCATGTCGAATATTTATCATACGGCTTGTAACCCGCCCGCTTCATGTCCGTTCTATGTCACTTAATATCAAATATGTTCGTCGCCAGTTTACAAGTACGATAATTCGACGCTCCCCAGTTTGCATTGCAAACAAGTTGTTTTCTGGCATGAGACTACCGAACATGAGAAAGCCTCGATGCTGCCTCTCCAAAACACAAAAAACTGCGGTCTGTCTCGACGACGAACTGCCGCTTTTACCGCGGATATTTCCCAGAGGCTGCGTGGCATCAGACCAGACCAGGCACCAGGGCCGCGGCCGCCCCTAGCAGCCCAGCCGCGGTGGCAGAATGCCCAGGATTGGGTGCAGATACGAAAACATCCTGCCTTGGCGTATCCGGATTGTGCTATTGGGGGAGCAGAAGCGCCAGGAGCATTTCGAGTGGGTGTGTAGGGTGGGGCGCAGCAGATGGCCATTGGACGGTATGGGAACGCTTGGCTGGGAGCAAAGGGGAGCAGAGGCATCCGTTTTTGGAGGCGAAAACCTCCGTTTCTGGAGGCCCTGGGATCCCATTTTCACCCAAAACCTCTACAAACCAAAACATGTGAGGGCCGAACTAGTACTCAGGTGGGTGACCACTGGGGAATCCTCGGTGTTGTATTG